GGTGTCAATGCTGCAAATACTGTATATTCTTGCTTTGACAATATGCAAAACTGTCTGGCATTTATTGGGTTAATACTTAGCTTAGACTGGGCGGGGGAAAAAAGCCCGGGAAAGAAAGAGGAAGTAAACGTTTGACCTTCTCACTAATTGGATAATGTGACCTGTGACTGCATGAGAAGGGAGGGGTTGAGCAAGGAAAGCTTGATGCCAGCGACCGGAAGTTCAGATTCTGGCATCAATTAGTCCAATGGTGACCGGCATAATTTGTAGCTCTGCAAATAAAGACTTTAGGAAACATGCCTGAAAGTTCTTTGAAGTGCTTCATTAGTCGGAACTTGTGACATCATGCCAGAATCCACACTTTTTTCAAACGATCTACGTCCCGATCTATCAACAGCTGCCTTTATGCCTGAAAGGAGCTGGCAAAGTTTCGGGGGAGATCTCATCATGGAGAAAGAAAGATTGCCTGAAACCAGCCCCGCAGCTGCAGCAGTTTCCCCGGGGGGGAAAGCGACAGCCAGCAAGCTGGGGGAGAGAGAAATTTGGCAGATTGCCCATCCTCTTACAGAACTACTCAAAACAGGCAAAGGAGGAGGGAAGCCACGACCGGGCCAACCACTAGCATGGACAATGAGCTGTCAAACAGCTTTTGAGAATTTAAAGAGACTATTTGCCGCTGAACCGGTTCTAAAGCACCCCTGCCCAGGGGAACCCTTTGTGATTCAAGCCGACGCCAGCGATGTGGCGGTTGGAGCAGTGTTACTTCAAAAGAACAAAAATGGGATCCTGCAACCCTGTGCCTACACCTCTAAGAAATTCACTGAGAGCGAGCGAAGATGGGCAATCTGGGAGAAAGAGGCCTTCGCAATTAGGTGGGCGCTATTGAACTGGCGACACTATCTAGAAGGGAGCAAGGTGCCATTTGAGGTATGGACTGATCACAAGAACCTAGAGGCACTGAAAACTCCTCGCAAATTGTCACCAAAGCAAGTACGGTGGGCACAGTACTTTAACAGCTTCAACTTCACTCTAAAGTACATACCAGGAGGAAAGAACTTTCTAGCTGATGCGCTATCCCGGTTACCCCAGTACAAAAGTGAATGAGAGCAGGTTAACGAGGCAATTATTCCCAATCCACAAACTGTTACTCAACTTACACCTCGCAGGGTCCCCAATCCGGATGACCCTGGAGTGAAGAAAATAAAACGAGAGCTCCTCACTGACCAATGGTTCAAAGATAATCAAGCGTCCCTAACATGCAGGGATGGCTTGGCTTACAAAGGGGGGAAGTTATATTTGCCAGAAGCGCTCCGTCTAAATGCTCTCAAACACAGCCACAATGTAAAGCAGGCTGGACACTTTGGATTTGAAAACCCTACACCTCACCCGCCGGCAATTTTGGTGGCCGGGGCTGAAAAAGGACGTGGAAAACTTTGTAAAAAGTTGTACTGTATGTGCTACAATGAAAAGAATCCCGGGAAAAACTCCTGGGTTACTGCAACCCGTGGCAGACCCTTCTCAACCTTGGGAAGAAATAGCTATGGACCTTATAGTGGACCTACCTGAAAGTAGGGGAAATTACAGTACTTGGTACAATGGAAGGGAGACCCATTGTCTGAAGCCACATGGGTGAAATCTAGTGAAGTGAACGCTGACAGATTGATCAAAAGGTTTCATGTGAAACACCCCAACAAACCGAAAGATAACACTTAACATATGCTTTTGTTTACTTTACAGGTTCTGTCCTTCTTGTAAGGGGGGCCGGATGTCAATGCTGCAAATACTGTATATTCTTGCTTTGACAATATGCAAAACTGTCTGGCATTTATTGGGTTAATACTTAGCTTAGACTGGGCGGGGGAAAAAAGCCCGGGAAAGAAAGAGGAAGTAAACGTTTGACCTTCTCACTAATTGGATAATGTGACCTGTGACTGCATGAGAAGGGAGGGGTTGAGCAAGGAAAGCTTGATGCCAGCGACCGGAAGTTCAGATTCTGGCATCAATTAGTCCAATGGTGACCGGCATAATTTGTAGCTCTGCAAATAAAGACTTTAGGAAACATGCCTGAAAGTTCTTTGAAGTGCTTCATTAGTCGGAACTTGTGACAGTAGGACAGCTAGGGAAAAGGGAAAAAAATGGCGGACAGCGTGGTTTGGTGACCCCCATGAAATGGTCATTTGACCCCAAATGGGGTCCCGACCCACAGGTTGAGAACCACTGGCCTAGAAGCTAGCAAAGATGTTTTTGCAGCACATGTACTGGCTGCATGGAGAGCCTAAGTGCATCATTTCAGATTGTGGGGTCCAGTTTACTGCTAAGTTCTGGAAGGAGTTTTTAAGGATTGGGTCCTCCAAGGGGCTTAGCTCCGCTTTCCATCTGAGTACGAATAGGGCCGCAGAATGAGCTAACGCAATAGTGCAGCAGTACCTGCGTTGTTATGTCAACTACCAGCAAAATAATTGGGCAGCACTCCTGTTTTTGCAAAGTGGCACATAACAATGTAGTGCATAGTAGCACCAATTTCACGCCATTCAAGCTAGCCATGGAGGTAGAGTTCATGCCAATGCTCGAATGCCCTCAGAAGCCTCCCCCCTCAGGCACCTTAAATGAATGGGTAGATTTGTTCCAACGTGTTTGAAGTGATGCCAAGAAAGCTTTAGCTAAAGCAGCAGAAAGTCAAAAGAAGCAGGCAGACAAGAAACAATCTCCCCAGAGGATGTTCTATGTAGGAGATAAAGTGTATCTATCTACTAAGTACCTCAAATTGAGACAAACGTGCAAAAAAACTAGATCCAAAGTACATTAGCCCTTTTTCTACTGTGAAAGTTATAAACCCGGTGACAGTGGAGCTGAGATTATCTAGAATACTGGGCAAGGTATATCCAGTATTCCATTGTAGCTTGCTGAAGCCATTTCAAGACTCCAGAATGAGGCCAATGGGGACAGCAGTCCCAGGTCCAATAATGGTAAGGTGGGGGAGACGCCCTATGAAGTCAAGCGGATTCTGGATTCCAGAATCCACAAAGGAAAGTTACAGTACTTAATTCAATGGGAAGGCTAGCTGATGACAGAAGCTAGGTGGGTAAAGGCTGACCACACAAAACCAAATCGTTTGGTGAAGCGATTCCACAGTAAGTATCCCCAGAGATTCCACAGTAAGTATCCCCAGAAGCCTGGACCCCCACCGGGGATGAGGTAACACAGGATAATGTATATTCATTTTGTTTTCCAGGTTCCTTTCAACTTCTAGGCGGGTCAGCCTGTCAAGTTCAGAAAAAACTTCATGCTGTTTCAGATTCTTTCTTTCTTCCCTTGAACTGCCAACAGAGATAGGGAGATGAGAGGAAAGAATAGAATGTATGTTGTATCTACAGCTGTGGAGATTGTTTTGGAAACTGAAGGTTCTTTCTCATAATAATTTTCTGCAGTTTAACTGGGTAATGTGACCTGCATAGTCATGGGGGAAAGCGAGTTGCTATGCTTTGAATATACTGCTTTCACGCCAATTTAATCAGAGCTGACTGCCGGAATGCATTTCCTAACAAAATCTAGCATTAGTGATTGAAATGTCTCAGGTGTGCTTGCTTTGTTGGGATCATCAGCCGGAATGGGGACATTAATGTTAGTTGCAAAGAATCAGGACCACTTGTAAAGTTGCACCATATAAGATTTATTCAAATCTATATTCAAGAATCTAATCAACTGTCACCACGCCTTAAGGACAAATGCATACAAAGCCAGAATTGAAAAGACAGCAAGAGACAGTAAGTGCCACCTATGCAAAGAAACTGAAGAAACAGTGGACCACCTGGTAAGCGGCTGCAAGAAGATTGCACAGACTGATTACAAGCAGTGGCATAACAAAATAGCAACAATCGTACATTGGAAGATCTGCAAGAAATAATATTTGCCTGCAAACAAGAACTGGTGGGAGCATAAAATAGAGAAAGTCATAGAAAATGAAGAAGCTAAATTGTGCTGGGACTTTAGAATTCAAACAGGCAGGACCTGCCACATAACACCTGGGACTTAACAACTGTTGATTAGAAAGACAAAAAAGTCTGGATAGTTGATATGAGAGTACTGGAAACAGCAGAATAGAAGAGAAAGAACTGGAGAAGATAACAAAATACAAAGACCTACAAATAGAAATAGAATGACTGTGGCAAACGAGCAAGGATAGTACCAATAGTAATAGGCGCCTTGGGTGCACCCCCAAAACATCTGGAGCACCACTTGATCACCATTGACATTCACAAATTCTCTATCAATTGCAAAAGGCAATGTCATGGTTCCGACAGATGAAACTCTTCAACATCAGATTTTTGGCATTGACAGGCAGCTTTACGGGGAACAATTTCCATCCTGTGACATATTCTTGACATAAAGTATAATAAATAGTATTCTTTCATACGTAGCACCTTTAATTGTTAAAAGATATTTTACAATGAAGTTCTATGTTAACTACAAAAGTTACTAGTAATAGAATACTATATGTACTATGATTATCATTTAAATAAAACTGATTATAAAGTATGACAAAAATCAGCAAGAAATATAAATGAAAGCTACTACAAAGCTGATCACTAGATACTATTTTGAGGATTTTCTTGAAGAAACAAGTATCTCAATCACAGAACAGTCAGCAATTTTAAAAAATTATATCAGATATTATTAAGCCTAACTCAAGAACAACAAACAAAGCATGTATAGGCAGGTACACAAACTGGAATGTTGCTGTTTTTATAGTACCCAGTTAAAAACACCTATGTCACATGTACTTCTTCCAAGCAATTACCATTTCACGTATTTATTTTTTTTGCAAAACATGATCATACAAAATAATGGAAAGAGTTGAAACAAATTAGACAAACTAGAATCTATAATAATTTGCAGTGAGAATATTGTGAAAGAAAATAAACTTTCTTCCAATTTTGTTAATTCACTCCAAGCAAGCAAGCAAGCAAGCAAACAAGAAATTGCAGTGCTTTCCCTCTTACCAGAACTTGGAATATGATTTACTCTGGATGTGGTTAGCAATTCTACTGGCTGATCTCTGCTAGAAAGTCCACCTGAAAAAAAATAATAATCCAGCTAGTGTTAATCTAGTTCAATTCTGATAAAGTTAGAGGTTCCATGCATCAATTGACTGAACAATTAAAAAAAACTAAAAGAAAAATCAACTATGCCATTAAGTTCAACAAAAAGTTTAATTGTCAAGTATATGTATCTCTTACATTGTATTTTAATCTTTAATTTTGTTTAATTTAGCTTTTATATAGTATGTTTTATTTGCAACTTATAATTTACATTTTATTTCTGAAAAAGTATGATACTGACAAGAGAAAAATAGACTGAAAATTTTTGATTAAAGATAGTAGTAAAGATAGTCCTCAACATACAACCACAATTGAGCCCAAAATTTCTCTTGCTAAGTGAAATGTTTGTTAAAGGAATTTGCCCCATTTTACAACCTTTCTTTCCACAGTTGTTAAATGAATCATTGCAGATGTTATGCAGCTGGTGTGTGTCTTTTGAATTCTAGAGTCCCAGGGTCAGTTCTGCCATCTTTGGCTTGGTGCCTTGCTAGCATCCTGCCATCAAAAGCTAGGAGGAAGGGGGCAAGTGGGACAGGTGGGCAATAAACATATAGGGCGATGTGATAGGAAATAGGGAGGGGGAATTACACCTTGATGAAAACCTGAGAGCTTGTGCCAACCTTCAAGGCCATACACCCTGAAAATGTAATGTGGATTGCCCCAAACATTTCAGTAGTTCTTAAAATACCTATGAAGCTCTCCATTGACTGGAAGATGAATTGATCAAGGGGGAGAGGGCTGGGATGAGGGGGAAAATTTCTGTCCTTTTGTGCGGGAATCTTAGTTCTAGCCTGACTTAATGCAGCCAGCAACCTTTAGTAAAAGAATCTATCACTTCACCCGAATTGAGTTCAGGGGTCTTTCTTTCCTAATGGAAATGACTGGGGCAAGTCTAACGCCCAGAGCACTTTAACTTCTTCATTATTGTTGTTGTTGTTGTTGCAATAATCCATCTTTCTGCCAAGACATAACATAGATGCTCAGTCATCTGAAACGCGAGATGGGTGGCAAATAAATAAATAAATAAATCATGTAATATCTTATAAGCATTATTCTATTAAAACTAACTCAAATAGAAAAGATACCGATTCCTGTGTAAAATGCAAGGTAAGCAGGATTGAGTTCATCACCCCAAGGACTGCATTCCATTGCTTCAAACAAAGAAAAGGGATGGGGTGGCTGTTGCAGTTCATCAGGTAAAGAGGGAGTGGAAGTTTTATTTGCTTTTCTTCGTAAGGAGGATATTTTAAGCAGAGGCTAGAGCGAGGGGGAGTGGGATTTTATTGCTTTCCTTTGTAAGGAGGGTATCTCAAATGGAGGGGAGAGAGAGAGTGGAGTTTTATTGCTTCCTTCATAAGGAGAATATCTCAAACAGAGGCAAGGGTGTGTGTGTAGAAAGGACTTGGCTGAGGCTCCTAGCCTCAGATTTTAGCAATAAAGATAATGGGGGGGGAGGGTTTTGACGCCGGACCTGACTGAGAAGAAGCAACAGAAGGACAGGAGAGACTGGTGGTGGCTACTGTTGCTGCGAAGCCTGGAGGCTATTTGGACTGTGATTATTGTTGCTGGTACAGGTTTTAGACTTTGTGGGGGAGTTGCCCTGGGGGGGGGCGAGCTATTGCTACAGCACACTGACTGTTGTTGTTTCTACTACCGTCTGGAGCCGGGGTTTTCCGCCATCCCACTTGACTCTGAACGACCGCTGAGGAATCCTTAATTCCTGCTGCTATAACGGCCTTGGGCTGTTGGATATCATCATAGCATTGACTATCGTGGCTGGTTATTTTCGTTCCTGGAAGCCTCTTCTTGACGACAAGAGCCTGCTACCTCCCAATTCTGCATGACCTCTGGCTGGAAGAGACATCTTATCAGCCCTTAGAGAATATTACTGCAGGGCTTGACACAGGGGGACGGGGCTGAGAGGGGCTGGGTTTTTGGCGGCCTCCGAGGAGGTAATGCTACATAATTATTCCATTTTTTTCTGTTCTTTTCCAGTCAATATATATTCTTGACCTAATTTTTTTTTCTTTCAATATATTGACATTGTCTTGTTTTATGTAGGTCTCTTGTAAACAAATAAGGTTGGTTTTGTGTTTCAAACTTGCTGGGAAAAAAAATCCTGGGTTTAAATCCAGGCTGGGTCATTTTAAAGAACACACAGGGCATGTTGCATGGATCAGAGGCAGAGTTTATTTCAATAGTTTGTGGTGTAGTACAGCAATCAAAAAGAAGGCTACACAGTATGCCAGGAGTATTTATAGTAACAATAGGCTTTGATTGTGAAATGTATTAGATATATAAATTGTTCTTGTCAGGAGGACATGTGAAGTCCCTATGGCGTATGTTTATCTTAGATATCTAATCTCTAATGTCAAAAAGTGAGTTACAAGATTGGAGAAAGCCCTGGCAAACCACTCCACCAAAAAAAAACCCAAGTAAATTCTATAAAAAGGATCTCAAACATGTCAGATTGGATGCCCAAAGATAGGACAACAGGAATCCCAGTTGCTGAGGCAGCCAGTGGCATAAGTAAATGCCTGCATTGTACAGAAAAACATCAGATAGCCACATGGAATGTCAGAGAAATGAGTCAAGGTAAATTAGATATTGTTAAACGAGAGATGATCAGATTGGAAATTGATCTCCTTGGTGTTAGTGAGTTGCACTAGACAATGGCTTTTTCCAGCTGGAGGAGTTCACTGTCTATTACTCAGGACATGGTATCAGGAAAACAAATGGAGTGGCATTTATTGTGAGCAATAAATCTGCTAGAGAATTGGAAAGCTTCTCAACTATTAATGACCATCAGAATTTGTGCCAAGCCCCTCAACATCACAGTTATCCAAGTCTATATCCCAATGACTGCAGCAACAGAGCTTGAAATAGAGGCCTTTTCTGCCATGGTCCAAGAAACTCTGAAACAAGTGGCCAAAAAAGTCATTTCTTTACATTCTGGGAGGCTTCAAAACAAAAGTTGACAAACAAGCAGAGACAGGCATCACTGATCATTTTGGATTAGGTGTGAGTAACGACACAGATGATCATCTCATTTAATTGTGCCAAAAAAACTGATTTAGGATCATGAATACAGCACAAGTGCCGCTTATACACTTGGACCTCAATGAACTTCAATGTAATCAGACTGACTATATCCTATGCGTTCATCGATGGACCAGTTCAGTTCTTGCTGTTAAGACATATCCAAATGCTGATTGTGGCTCAGATCATAATGTTGGTGGCAAAGATAAAAGTCAAACTATGCACTATCAAAAAAGCAATGCTTCCAAAGAAATTTGATGTCACCAAAATCACTACTATATGTATAACTGAAGTAAAAATAGGTTTGAACTACTGGACACTGCTAAGAAAATGTGGCAAGAAATTCAATCAACTATTTTTGGAATTGCAGCCCAACACATACAAGAAGCGAGAGAAACAATACAAGTGGCTCTCAGATGAAACCATCAAAATAGCTGAGCAAAGACAAGCAGCAATCAAATGGAAAGAAGCAAGAAGATTGAATGCAGCTTTCCAGAGGGCAGCAAGAAAGGACAATGAAGTTCAGGTTGAGTGATATAAACAGCTTGAAGCAGAAAACATGAAAGGTCACACCAGGAATGCATTAAGGCAAGTCAAAAAGATCCGAACACCATTTATTGCTTGTAAAGGCATCATTAAAACAAGCAAGGGAAAGAAGTTTTTAACTCCCAAAGTCGCAGTCCAAGCCTCTCCACTACATTTGGGCTAACTAGGCAATGGGTGCACCCAAAGTCCAGTAAAGCCGTCATCATGCCCCTGCGCCCCAAGGAAGGCACCATTAATTCTACACTGATCATCACTGGGATTAGGGAGCAAATTACCATCTGGTCTTCTTCTCCTCCACTGTTGCTATCTTGATCCCACTTCAGGCCATTGATCAGAGTTACCTCATCTACACTGGATGATGGGATGAACTCTATGATCTCAACCCTTTTAGCACCCCCTCTCGGGATTTACAGGTTGCTTTAGTCTTCTTGGGAGCTTTGCGCATCGCGATTCTTGTTTGGCACTGGGAAAGACAGTCTACTAGTCAACCAGCTAAGGCTCTGGAACTCTTGGATGTAGGCTGCAATGGATCTCTTCCCTTGCCTGATTGATTTTATTGGGTCACTGCTTTCCGAATCACCAAGAGGTCTTCGAACCTCTGCCGTAGGGCCAATATGAAGTTGGTGGTGTAGCTCCTCAACATCATCATTATGCAGGGCTACAAATCATTCGGCCACCTCACTCCCAAGGCCTGGACAACACAATATACTCTGGCCAGGTCACCTGGCAGGTACATCCCGTACTCATCCATGGAATACTACACTTGAGCTAGGAAGCATGCCAGCTGCTTCAGGTTCCCATTGCAGTCCTGGAGGGACTGCTGCCCCTGGTACTGGTGGAGCGACAGGTGCCACTGGGGCCACTAGTATCACCAGGACAGCCGGTATTGATGGGGTGGGAGCTGGTTGAGCACCTGCTGCTGCTGGATTTGGTGTTGGGAGCTGGGACTGGTTGATCTGTGTGGGATGCTGAGCTTGAGTTGGCTGCTCCTGGCACCTGTTGAGCTCCCAGGGTTTCTGGTTCTCCCTTCACCCTGGAATGTTCCATCTCTTCTTTTTCCTTTTCCAGAATAGACATGTTTGCATAATTTCCCTGGTAGTCATTACCTCCAGAAAAATTGGTATGCAGATCTGGCTTAATGTCAGACCTGCCCCAGCCTTGTCTCTTAGGAAAAAAAACAATCTCGATTCTATTTGTAGCAAAAAGATTACTTTTACTAAAATCCAAGTGGTTACAGTAGCAAAGCTAGGTCTAAGAGTTTGCTCGCAAAGATTCCCTAGTTATTTTCCCCTTCTTCATTCCAACCCGTTATCTCCCTATTATCTAGTCATATTCAAAGATGTTTTGGTAACTGTTCCTGCAACAGTTGGGTAAAAGGATAGGAATTG